AGGAAGGAAGGAAGGAAGGAAGGAAGGAAGGAAGGAAGGAAGGAAGGAAGGAAGGAAGGAAAACACCTTTGGGTCTACCTGGAAGGGAGTTTTCTTTCCAAATGCTGGTTCATTTTTGCTTCTTAGGAAGTTGCAGGAAGAAAAATTGCTTCTTTATAAGAGAAGCAAGGAACCCTTTTGCTAGAAAGAGTTGCATTAGGTATTGTTGCATGAGATTTCTGCAGTTTCATGACATTTCAGCTATTGTATTGTTTTCTTTAAAAAAATTAATTGAAGGAGTCTGGAGGCATCATTTTAGGGATGGTAGACTCCATAATGGCCATGATCATCATGCTTGGTAGGCTAGGATGGGCAGTGAGTTAATACAATTCTCATTATGGACCTGAAAATTGCTAAACCTGGCAGGTAGAAGAGGAAGATAACCAAATCCAGGAATTGCTACATAGGGAGAAAGAATTCTGGAGAGAAATCCTACACTTCTTCCAAAATGAAGTTCTGTTAATTGCTCAAGGCTATTCTGCTTTAAGACAGCCTGACAGCACCTTTTCCAGCTAATAAATTTTATTAAAAGATAGAAGACTACTGCTCACAAAAACTTATGCCTTTTAATAACATTTGTTAGTCTTGAAAGGAGCTACCAGACTCTTCCTGATTGTCCAAATACTTTATGCAAGAAAGAAGATATTCTAAGAAACAACAATAAACCCATCTCTCAATGAGTTTTGCATTGATGAGGAAGGCTTGGCTTCCCCCACCATCCCTACCTAACCTCAGAGGGAAAGAATACACGTAACAGGAGTTTCATGGAAGTTTTAAGGAGAAGGGAAGGTTACAGGTGGACATGTTGTATAAGTCATTCAGGATTCTTTAGGGCAAAATGCAACTTCTTAAATTGTCTTCAAGTATAACTTTGATGAAGATTTTCAGTACAGGAATAATACAATCCTTGCGTGTGTCCCCAATTTTTTTTTTTTTTTGGTTAAGAATCACTTGTGCACTGGCTGCAGTTTCTGAAGTGTCTTCAAAATCAGTTCTGTGTAGAAAATATTGTATTGGTTCTAACCAAGGTCTGCCAGGCCAGGCACAACAGGAGCCAAACTTTGTTGGTCTCCTCTAATAAAATTGATTAGAAGACTTTTGATAAGATCATTGCAAGCTGGGAATGAATAACCTGAAAAAAAAGTAGATCCTAAAACATTCGCTTTTTAGACAGAAAATTTACTGTGACTTTTAGTGGGAGTAAATGCATGTCTATACATATGTGACATATTTATGTGTTGTGAAATCCCCCCCAGCACAATTCCTAATACCTCCTGTGCACAAGACTAATCTTTATGGAAACCATTTGCTCAACGTGTGTACACACATGTATAATTATATTCTGAGACTTTATTTAATCATAGTCCACATGAAACCAAGTTGGAAGGAGATTTTAGTATCTTGATATATTTTTTTCCCTCCTATTTGGCAGCAAAAAATGAGGCTGATCGGCAGGCTGAGAAGAGGGAGATAAAACGGAGGCTCACCCGAAAGGTATTGAAATACTGTGGATGTTCTTCCCGTTTGCCAGAGCTCTCTGTAGGTGGTGACCTCTGGAAGCATGCTGCAAGCGGGTGAGGTGTTGCAGGGTTTACTCAGAGTCTCTGTCCAGGAATATGGACAGAGCTTTGGAATCTGGCATGCTGGAGGTCAGCAGGTTATGGCCAAGTCTGTGCTCTAAATTAAAAAGATAGGAAAAACTCAAGATTAATGGTCTGACTCCATTCTGGCTGTATACACTTATTTTGGTGTTTCCATCCTTCACCTTAACCCAGTGTTTCTCAACCTTGGCAGATTGAAGATGTGTGGACTTCAACTCCCAGAATTTCCCCAGCCAGCATGCTGGCTGGGG